GTCGCACAGGCTCGCCTGGTGCGTTCCAGCCTGAATGTTATTCTTGCTTGCCGACTCGAGATGCGAAGTCGTTTTGTTAAAAGAATCAGTGTATATAACTGTTTTCAAATTGGTCGACAAAATGCTGATCACATGCAAAACTGAATTTTCGTAGGCTTTTTCGTAATACCTGCACCTGCACTTCTCTACAAGTGGTGAAGTGTGAATCTATATTTTTGCAAATTGTGGAGATATTATCCATCCAGATTTTCATCAGACTTAAATTTTTGGCAATCGTAATCGTTTAAAAAAGGCGGTATCATATTTTCTTTCGAAAAAGCCATAATGTATTATTGAGCCACAATTTCCTCGCTGTGTTATCTGAAGGATGCTGCAGAAAAGGCATGGATCGCTCATTCACGATAGAAATTATGGAAAATCGTACTATAAAAGATCGAAGCATAGGAGCAGTGCGTATTATGGAGCGAGTGGATAACGATACTCGATCTCTTCGTCGCGACATTATTGCAGAAGGTCGCAAAGTTGGTACTCTGGACATGACGGTGCAGTCATATGACGATCCGTTGTATTTGTGATTCCCTTCTCGAAGTTATGCCACTACACCAATTCACTTCCAGTCTCTTGCTCATTTTATTTTCAAAATTTGAAGCTTTCTGGGTCCTTACGATCTTTGCTTTTCGCTCAGTTGGAAATTTTCTATTTAATATATATATACATATTAAATAGGAAATTATATATATATATATATTTAAGTACTTCGAGCACCCCACAGAAATTACTGCACAAGCGCGAAGTTTTTCATCCTGTTGCTCCTTCAAGGGGGAGAATGTTTGAACCAAGCGAGGCAATATGACGGTGTCACTTCAACTGATCTTTTTATTTTCATTCTGTTTGTAATAATGTTCTCTGTTGATGACGTAAATCTTTTGGCACTAGTCTTCACGGACTCGACAAGTTCGTTGATGCTTTTTTGATTGCTTCTTGCGCATTTCTAGTCGTTTCCAGGCCTGAGATGATTGCTTCTTACAGATCTTTAGCAATGTGAATGGTTGCTGCATACAATTTGACAGTTGGAATCACGTTGGTTACGTTGCAAGAGAAAAAGGACGATACTGCTACATCACAAAATCGCATGAAATCTTAGCCTCCAGCGTGCATAATTACCTTAAATTTATGGCAGCTACTAAAAATCGGCTCGGTTCGGCCTGCGTCATACACGATTTGCGAACGATTTTTTGTGTGTCCTTACCTAGCTGCAGCAAAGGGTGCTGGATGCCGCAGATGGGGTGGTAGTGGGAGAACGTTGTGTGTCCATTGGCTGATCCGGGGGGGGAGGGGGGAGAGGCAAAGGGCCTTCCCCTTGCCCCTCCCCCAACGGGCTTAGGTAGCAGATGTTTTACTATACAAAAGTCTGCACCCTTCCCTCGCCGGGAGTCTTGTCAATCTCAATTTAGTGTATATTAGTGAGAGCGCGAAGGGAGGTTTTTGCTGCGGATACGCGGGGTGGAAAAAGGCTGAAGTCTTGCTTGCTTCCAGAGTGCTCATATGGTGAGAATGGAGAGAGAATTTCAGGACAGAGTAATGAAAGAGAACGAGGACACAAGCTAGGAGCTCGAGGCAACTGCGTCATAGAGTATTGGGACGAACTTTGCTGTCTCTACTCTTATGAACAAAGAGAAATGTATGTAATTCTATACACATATTAACATATCTATTATCGTCTCTATTGTCCTCTCAACATATGTAATATTGTCTTATTAATTATACTAAGATACTAATCATACTAGGGTATTACTGCAATTAACTTTAATTTTATTGTTTTATTATTTTATCTTAATTTTATTATCTTAATCTTATTATCTTACTATTTATTTCATTAATTTTTCACTAATTTTTTACTATTTATCATATTATTCATCGTACGACCAACGTTTTGATTGTACAACCAACGGGAACAAGTAGAATTATTTCATGCGAAATCAATTCTTCGCGCATCGGAGTGCTTGTTGTCCGTACAGGTGAAAAAACTACGATGAAACTCATCGCCGTTTATGCGCCCACTTCAGCAGCAGATGAGGAAGACATTGAACGTTTCTATGAAAGACTCGAGGCCGCACTGCGACAGAAGGCAACATATACAATTGTCCTCGGAGACTTCAATGCCAGACTCGGAAAAGAAGATGGTTCAGAAGAATTTATCAGATGCTTTGGTCTGGGAGCAAGGAGCGACAGAGGCCAGAGACTTGCTGACTTTGCCGAAAGTTCCAAGCTCTAC